ATATATTAATTTCCAAATCCTGCTTTATGTAAGTAAAAAGCAGCTCAAAAAGATGTTTGGATTGTCTGTGACTTCTGCAAAGACAATGTCAGCCTCTTTAGTTTAAATAGTTAATCTGTCCTGCAAGAAGTGTCTTGCAGGTAATGAAGAATGAATTTTCAGGAAAAAATAATCTGGTTAAAAATCCATTTTTTCATTTTTATAACACAATAAAAAGCAATCAAAAAATCTTCCTTTGGGTAACACTCAAAATGTTACTAAAGCAAAATAAAAACATTTTATTGTTCTTAGGTTATCCAGCTCTTCTAAATATATTCACTTAGGTAAATTTTTAAATTAAAAAAATTCATTAAAAAAAATAAGGACACTCTTTTTACCTTGAAAAATTTTCAACAACACCACTTGCACATTTTCAAGATTTCTCTCACAACCCCATTTTGTTTTGAGGCCTCCACATAATTTTGTGTTCACTGAAAAATTTCTGTCATGTCTTTCTTTGAATGTTCCCACAATAGTTACACATGCAGTGGGAAAGACAAAAGAAAATTCTGTACGAGGTAGAGTTTTTCTTTTGCAAAAGATTTAAACCTGCCTTTTTTTTTTTTCCAAGCCAGTCCTCTTCTCTTTCTCAACATGTTTTTGTTTTTCCTATGCCTTGTTCACCCTTTCAGTTATTAATCTCTGATCATGGCCTTCATTTGCTCTATTTCCCCAGCATTATCCATACCAGTTAATTACTGGTATCATGCCAGGACAGTCATTCCAGGCAAGCCTCACCATATACCATCTCATCTACTCTGGTATAGTTCATCTCTGAAAAAAACATAATAAAAAGAGATGAAGTCATGTTGGAGATAAGTACCATGGCTGGACTATGATCAACGCTGCTGGTCTGTTCTCACTCCTGTTATTAAGGGTGAGGTCCCACCTCAGACCAGTGTCTCTTAGATCAGTATTTTCTCTCCAGTCAGTAGAGAGTTCTTAGGGACACATGGAAGGGGAGGAGTGTGTTTTTGACTCTTCCCACACCCTCTCCCCAAGCTCCAGCAATCTGCCGTCAGGTCATGCAGCCCTTAAAGGCAGCTCTAATGACACCAGTGTGGTTATTTTATCTCTGGCCCTAAACGTTTTCGGTTTTCCCACAAAAATTTTCCTTTCATTCTCATTTGCATGCAATCATTATCATTTTGCTTCCTCACATACAAAGTTCTGAAATTCCACAAAGCACAAAGGCTAAGTTACGTTTACTATCTAGAGCATGTTTATTGCATGTTGGTGTATAATTAATCTGAATAAAAAAATACCACTCATAAATAATCTAAAACCAGGGAGCATGGAGAAATGGTGCAAGCCCCAAGACTGTGCTCTCTCCTATGCAACTGTGGCAGGTAACTAGTTCGAGAAATAAGAGTGCATAAGAAACATTGCTACATATTTTTCTGCTTCTTTTGAAGAGAATCCATGCTCTTACTGTTATAGTTTATGTAAAAAAAAGCTATTCCAGTTCCCTGCGTACATTTATTTTTTTTTAATGGCCCACTGAAAAACATTCATTGCATGACTGAAAAGAAGAAAATCTGCATCTGTGTATGAAAGCAATCAATTCATTCCACTTGTAATGAGATTTCCCCCGTCACTTCAGTTTGATTGTTTACCTTTACAACCACCTCCCATGCTGTTTGGAAAAAGAAGAAAAAGACATGGAAAAGAATCAAAAGCCAAGCAACTCAACATGACTGTGTTTAATCTCATCACTACCTGTTCTGAAGAATGTATTTGCATATTTATAATACTATATTACTACAGGAATGACAACCTTTAGTGGCAGCATGTAAACCAGCAAGATAGTTAAGAGTTCAACATGTTCTAAGAACTCACTGGAAATTGGCAGTGCTCTTAGGGTGCTCACAATTCTCAGTGGTCACAGCTATGCTCAATGTGTTCAACAATACCTTCTCTATGATTTAAAAATAAAATGAAGTTATTCAGCTAATAAATATTTCAAACTTTAGCTACAGTTTTGCATGCCAAATCAAAAGGACGAAGAACCTAAAAGCCAGCATTATCTTCTGTTCTGTGCCTGGTGGACTGCCCACGTTTCATGATGGTGCTTGCTTTTCCTGTCAGAACACTGTAGGATCTTTCTTCTGTTACAGAAAACTAAACTTATGCTGAGCCAGTGGCATTAATGTAAGCACAGAGAATTAAGTACTCACATTAGCCACAGTGCTCTGGAAGAATCATAGGTTTTCCTTACATCTCAAATAACATTCCGCAAAATTGCTGCAGTTACACTTGGGCATCTCTTCAGCAATTCCTAACACAACCTTCTGTGACACATATATAAGCTCTGTCATATTTAGTGCACAATTAGAGTTGTTCATAATATTCATTTTAAGTAAGCTGTATTGCCTTTTTGATTTAATCTATCCTGTTCCCACACTGTAGGCACAGTGGATATTCAATAAGTCACTCTTAAGAAGTGTCCCCTAAGGCTCTAGAAAGGACCAGCCCAAATTCTTTACTCTCTGAAATATACCCACAGATTTCTTTTTTAAAGATAGGTAAATTCTGAAAAGCAGATATACCTCCCTTGACAGGGTCCGCTTCCCAGAACTGGAAACTGCCCCTCCATACGCCCGAAATCATAGAGGCTGGCCAGAGTGGTTCATTGTAGAGCCAAGCATTTGCCTACTGTAATTTTGGCACTAAAAAACTCCAGATCAGTGGATCAATTCTTTTCAAACAGTAAGTACCTAAGGAATTAGGGTATAAATGTATTTAGCAGAAATTCCATCTCTGCTGCTCCAACACAGCTCGGAATCCAGGTGCACTGGACTGGAGGCGAAAAGCACATGTGCCTGCAGTCTCTGCCTAGGAATTATTATGGTTCACAGCATTAAGGAAATTCTAGTTTATGGAGAGAAATTACATGGATTTTTCTTGAAAAATCCTCCAGAATGAAGACTCATCTGCCAATATGCATAAGCTGATTCCTTGAACGGTACAAAATAACCACAACGAGCCTCCAGACTTCGGTAATTTGTATTTAAATCAGTAAAAAAATACTGTGTAAATGAGCCTAGTGGGCTTGGTTTATGGCAAGAAAACTGTTTTAACCAGAGCAAGTTGTATTTTCCTTAGTGATGCAGCAATTCATGCTATTATTTATGCTCACAATCAAATATATGTTCATTAAGTTTTAACAGTATCTCAACCTAGAATATCCTCTCTGAAATGCTAATTGTAACTATTACCCATCCCATGATCATTCTCAGCCTCTTTTGCTTGGAACTGCTAACAGTGATGTACAGAGATCAGATAATTCCTATCTCTCACTGTAATTGCATAGGGCTTTTGTTTTCTTTTGATTCAGTAACTTTGAAACTGGATTAAGATAACAGTCGCTTACGAGGCCTTCACCACAGAAGTTGCTTTCATCACTGCCATATTTAATACTATTTTACTCTAGAACTTAATTTTTTACACTGTTCTTATATGCATGAGTTTCCATGAAGTTCATACTTCAGATTACACTTAAACACTAAATACTCTATGAAGAGGTAAAAAAAAAAAATACCCTGAATTTTGTTTTTGCTGACATACTCATGAGTGAATGTAATAACTGGCATGCTGGCACTGTTTATTATGATCACATGAAATTCAAATGATATGATAAGAAGAGAGGCCAATCTCAAAACCAGAGGATGTAGCCTATCTTATTTATGTGTGTTTAAGCATCTTTAGGTGGTAACAAGCCCTTCACCCTCCCCTGTCTGAGCAATTGCTGCTCTTGGCAATAATAATCTGAGCTGAGAATGGAGCTGGCAGATGCAGTACTGCTGCAAATTACTGCTTCTTAGCAGCACATGCATTCATTCATCCAGGGAGTCATTTTTTATCATTGCAGAAGTAAGCCAAAAGCCATAAAATATTTTATTTGTCAATACCTAGAAATAAAATCTGTAGTGTATTCAACAATTATGATCATAAAATATAATGTTAAGTACATAATTGAAGTGTCAGTATACCCCATGTCATAAAGAAATCTCTGAAAAAAAATTAAATGCATTCTGTGTGCCTAGTTTGTCTGTTTTGTGGATTTTTTTTCAATATTACAGTTGGAGACCTCATAATGAAAGTGTGACTGCTGATACACATTACCAAGACCAAATAATGCCAACCATAAAATCCTGATTAGTCTTTCCTTTATTCTGGCATATTATTTCTTTCAGTATTTTAGCTACTGAGATGAATGACAGATGTGACAGAGAGGAAAGAAGAATAATGTACAACATTACTAAAGGCAGTATACAGTTCAGTGGAATTAGCAGTCATTATTTCAGCGTTGACCACAATACTGCTGTTCTACAGACTATAAAGTAAGATGCCACAAAGCAGTCAGTATATGTTCTTTGGATCAGATATATATGATGCTGCCTTACCTTTCAAATAATTGCCTTATATGCATTGCCCAGGCAGTGACTTCAAACACCATTTTTTTCTTTTATCTGTAGTGCATTTTTACACTCATTTAAGCAAAATGTCCATTTTGTTATCTTTTTTAGAACTATGCCCTGAATAAATATTCAATCTTTTAAAAAAGTCCCATCTCTAAATAAACAATAAACAAAAGAGAAAACCTATTTATGTACACCAATATTATAGCAGTAACCTAACACAAGTTGTACATTCTCAGGAGAACAAGACTTCTCTCAGAACAAAAGAACTTTAACCTGGTTTCTCTTTTAGGTTAGTTATTTAAATAGCAGTGGTACTATAGTAACTGTAACAATTATATGGGAAGCAAGCTTTGCATAGCAAGAGAAAAATTGTGTTTAAGCAATTGATATAACTTGAAAAAAACAAACAAGCCTTGGAGTCAGAGTCTATGATGAGTCTATTAATTGCATCATTAATAAGTAGACAGGCAATCTAAATATAACAGCTAAAGCACAAATGTATCAGCACTAATTGCAACCAGAATACAGACACAGTACCTTAGCTTTATCCCTCATGGATCCTTTCCCCAGGATGGACATCTTTGCACCTGTTTCTTCTTGTAACCTCTTCAAGGAGTTTCCTCTTGGTCCAAGCAATTTCCCAACAAAATTGAACTAGAAAGCAAGTAAGAGAACTATTTTAGACCAAGAGGTACTTCTTCAAAAACTTCATAAAACTTTATAAAGTAAGCTGCTTAAAAGAGAAAAAAAGTTTACCTTCCTTTAAGAAAAAAACCCTCCTACTTAGTTCATTGGGGTCCAAGTCTGGAGAACTGGGGTATCCTCTCACCTAGCGTGAGAGGCAGTAAAAGCATTTGTGGTTTATTTGAACCCCAGGAGGCTCCTCTCTAGGACAAAAATGGCCAGTGGCTCCTTAGGTTTATCTAACTGCTGAACAAGACCTTTGCTTATCAGACGGTATAGGTGAAACCCAGAGAATGCATACATTCTTTCCTGAGTTAGCCAGCTTTATTGGCAAAGTAATATATTCTGCAAAGTTAGAGCCTTAGATGGATTTTTAGGAATTGATGTTTTACACATTGATTTTAAAATAAGTGCTTTTTTGTGTATCGGCTTCAAATATCTGTTTTGCGAGCAACAGAACAAATCAGAAACAATTGATCATTGTAGATACTCAAGACTATTTTCTGAGATAATTTTAAAGAGCACTGGGCTTTGCCTGGCATGCTGCTAATATCCTTAAACACTGCACAGTCCGTGTGACACATACAACATTGAGTTTTCTGTATGAGGAGGAGAGATGTCTACATGAACATCAGAAGACAGAACATTAAATAAATGAAGTGTTACTGTTATGTCAACACAAACTAGCAAAAATGGGGGAGTCTATTAAGTAACATTCATTTGTTTATTCTGTAATCAATAGTCTCTTCAGTGTATTATTTTCTTATGCTTTCCAGAATCTTTTTAAAACTCTATGGCGTGCTGTCTTTGGAAGTTGACTGGGAACCACCAGCACTTGCGTAGGATGTTTCTAAATTATGTTAAAGTCTGAACAGACATTCCTCTGGTCTGTCTTTCAACAAAGAATAAGCCAAGCCAAGGAAAAGGTTGCCATTACAGAAACTTGGTGGGATGAAACCCACGACTGGAATGTAGCTATTGATGGCTACAGGCTGTTCAGAAGGGACAGGAGAGGAAGGAGGGGCGGAGGCGTTGCCCTTTACATCAAGAAATCGTTACAGTGTGAAGAGCTGACCCTGAAGAATAGCCACGAGCAGGTCGAAAGCTTATGGGTCAAAATCGGAGGAAGAGGCAACAAAGGGAACCTGGTGGTTGGTGTCTACTACAGGCCGCCAGATCAAGGGGAGCCGACTGACGAAGCGTTCTTCCTCCAGCTCCGGGAGGCTTTGCGCTCTCAGGCTCTTGTCCTGCTGGGGGACTTCAACCACCCCGACATCTGTTGGAAAACCAACACGGCAGGATGTAGGCAATCCAGCAGGTTTCTCGAATGCATTGAGGACAACTTCTTAAGCCAGGTAATAGACACCCCTACCCGAGGGGATGCGATACTGGACCTGGTGGTCACCAATGCAAGCGAGCTCGTCGGAGATGTCAAGATCGGAGGCAGCCTGGGCTGCAGTGACCACGCGCTGGTGGAGCTCACGCTCCTAAGGGAAATGACAAGAACAAAGAGTATAGTCAGGACCCTAAATTTTAGAAAAGCAAACTTCCAGCTCCTCAAGGAGATAGTCAGAAGAACTCCCTGGGAAACGGTCCTCAGAGACAGGGGAGCAGAACAGAGCTGGCGGATCTTTAAGGATGTGATCCACAGAGCGCAAGAGCTCTCGATCCCTAGCTGTAAGAAATCAGGAAAAGAAGGGAAGAGACCGGCGTGGCTGAGACAAGAGATGCTGGTCGAACTAAGGAAGAAGAGGGAACTGCACAGGCAGTGGAAGCAGGGACAGG